ACACAGTGGCCAGAAATACCAGTGCCATCAGGAGGTCCACCAGTGGGGCCAGGACATTAGAAGCCCTCCCACTGTTGACCCCGCTAAGCACCAAGATGACAGAGCATCACTTGCCCCAGAGTCCCTATCTATACCTTGTGGCTAATAGCCACTGATGGACCTCTGCTCCATATGCTTATCTAATTCCCTTTTGAAGCCATCCATGCTTGTAGCTGCCACCACTTCCTGCGGCAGTGAATTCCAAGTGTTAATCACTCTTTGGGTGAAGTACTTCCTTTTATCCGTTCTAACCCGACCGCTCAGCACTTTTATGGAGTGCCCTCGAGTTCTTGTACTGTGAGAAAGGGAGAAAAGTACTTCTTACTCTACCTGCTCTTTCCCATGCATAATATTATAAACCTCAATCATGTCACCCCTCAGTCGTCATTTCTCCAAGCTAAAGAGCCCTAAGCGCTTTAACCTTTCCTCATAGGGAAAGTGTTCCAACCCATTTATCATTCAAGTTGCCCTTTTCTGCACTTTTTCCAAAGCTATAATATCCTTTTTAAGGTGTGGTGACCAGAACTGCACACAGTATTCCAAATGAGCTAGCACCATTGACATTGAACCCCATTTGCCATGTTGACGCCCACTCGCCCAACTTTGACAGATCCCTTTGGAGTGCCTCACAATCCTCACTGGTTTTCACCACCCTGAACAACTTTGTATCATCCGCAAATTTAGCCACTTCACTGCTTACTCCCAACTCCAAATCATTAATGAACAAGTTAAAAAGCAGTGGACCAAGTACTGATCCCTGTGGTACCCCACTGCTTACACCCCTCCACTGGGAGAACTGCCCATTTATACTCACTCTCTGTTTTCTATTAATTAGCCAGTTTTTGATCCATAAAAGGACTTGTCCTTTTATCCCATGATTTTTGAGCTTACTTAGGAGCCTTTGATGAGGAACTTTATCAAAAGCTTTCTGGAAGTCAAGGTAAACAATATCTATTGGATCCCCCTTGTCCACATGTTTGTTCACCCCCTCAAAGAACATTAACAGGTTAGTGAGACAAGATCTTCCCTTACAGAACCCATGTTGAGTCTGCCTCAATAGGTTTTGTTCATCTATGTGCCTACTAATTCTTTCCTTAATAATGGTTTCCACCAATTTACCCGGTATCGACGTCAGACTGACAGGCCTGTAATTTCCCGGATCTCCTCTGGAACCCTTTTTAAAGATGGGAGTGACATTAGCTACCTTCCAGTCCTCAGGAATGGAGGCTGATTTTAAGGAGAGATTACATATTTTTGTCAGGAGATCCACAAGTTCACAATTGAGTTCTTTCAGAACTCTTGGATGTATGCCATCTGGGCCTGGTGATTTATCAGTTTTTAAGTTGTTTATCAGTTTTAGGACCTCCTCTCTCGTCACCTCAATCTGACTCAGGTCTTTCAACACCCCTCCTGAAATCAGTGGTTCTGGAGTGGGCAAGCACTTCTCATCTTCCACAGTGAAGACGGAGGCAAAAAATGCATTTAGCTTCTCAGCCATTTCCCTATCATCCTTCAATACTCCTTTTACCCCTTGGTCGTCCAAGGGCCCCACTGCCTCCCTGGCTGGTTTCCTGCTTCTAATGTATTTGAAGAAAGTTTTATTGTTGGTTTTTACGTTTTTTGCTATATGCTCCTCATATTTCCTTTTTGCCTGCCTGACTACAGACTTGCATTTTATTTGCCATAGCCTGTGTTCCGTTTTATCAGCCTCACTGTGACTAGCTTTCCACCGCTTAAAGGAATCCTTTTTACCTTTTACAGCTTCCATTACTTTGTTTGTAAAGGCTTTTTCCTTTACCTGTTTGTGCCTTTCCTAACCTGTGGAATATATTTTTTGAGCTTCTAGAATCGGTTTTAAATAGTTTCCAAGCTTCCCCAATGGTTTTGACCCTTTCTACTTTTCCCTTCAGTTTCCTCCCCACATGTCCCCTCATATCAGAAAAATTTCCCCTTTTAAAGTTAAAAGTGGTTGTGTCAGTCTTTTTGGCCAGTTCTCTAATTATACAAATGTTGAACTCAACAACATTATGATCACTGTTCCCAAGCAGTGCAATCACTTTTACATCTCTCACCAGGTCTTGAGTGTTACTTAGGACCAAATCAAGGATCGCCTCTCCCCTGGTAGGTTCCGTGACCATCTGCTCCATAGCACAGTAATTTAGAGTGTCTAGAAATTCAATCTCTTTCTCTCTACTAGAACACATATTGACCCCCAATGAATGTGTGGTTAGTTAAAATCACCTATTACGACACAGTGTTTTTGTCTAGCTGCTATCTTTAATTTATTTATTTATGCTTTTGGCTTGTATCCTGCTCGAACCCCGAGGGGTCTCTGAGAGGCTTACACAATTATTTGTTCCCTAACTAAGGCCACAATCATGAGGGGGGGTGGCTTCCTACCAGCACCTGGCAGCGAGGCCTCTTGCTGATGTCTGGCCTTCTTCGGCGGCCTCAGACGTTGGCGCTCTCCTTCCGTGTCCCGGGGCAGATCTTCTCCTGATTCCGTGGCTCCTTCTCTCAGCAGGGCTCCTCTGGTGCACGGCCCATGGCCGCCACAGCTCCGACTATCGTCCTTTCCGGCTCCATCACGCTATGCCGCCGTGCTGCCGCACCTCCGTGGCGCCGCCCCTTCCGGAATCACGCCGCACTCGCTGGATGCTCCTCAGCCGCTCCAACACTTAACTCTGCCATTACTGTTCCATCGTCGCCTCCGCTGCACACCCCACTAGTGGGGAGGTACCCCCTGCTACCTAGGGCAGGTACCCATTTATCTCCTTGCTTTTTTAAAGATGTTAATGCTTTCAAACCGCTGGGTGGGCGGGAGCTAGGACTAGGGCCGGGAGCTCACTCCGGCCGCGGTGGGTCTTGAACAGCCACAGCGGCTGTTCGCTGTTATATCAGGTGTTCTTTACTACCTGCGCCACCGCTCCCGCTCATTCATCATTTTATAATCCTCCTCTATCTTCTTGATCTGGTGGGCGATAACAAACTCCCAGTGTCAAGTTTCCTTTTGGCCCCCCTATTTCAACCCCCAGAACTTCAAGAAGCGAATCCAATTCTCTTAGCCTCTCAATCTTTCTGGACTTTAGACCCTCTCTGACATACAGAGCCACCCCACCTCCAACCCTCCCCCCCCATCCTTCCGATATAATATATAACCGGGAATCACCGTATCCCACTGATTTTCCTCATCTCACCAAGTTTCTGAAATACCCACAATTTCCCTCCGACACCAAGCACTCCAACTCCCCGATTTTACCTCGGACACTTCTAGCATTTGTATAGAAACAGATGTAATTTCCCATACTAGTTAAGCCTGCCACCTTCCTCTTGCTATCTCGAGACCTTGTCAGGCAGTCCATGTCACTAGCCATGGTCTCAGTGGACAATTTCAATCCACCTCCCTGTAGAAAAGCAACAGGTACCCCCTTCATCTCTCTGAGATTGAACCAACCCGAACCAGAGACTTTACACTTAACAAATTATTCGGAAGACTCTCAAGAAGTCAGATTGAACAGAGAGCCTGCCCATGCAGAAAGTGGAGATGGAAACACTCATTTATTTAGATTAATTTTTATTTCTCCATTGATATCACACTTTCCTGTATGTGCACACGATTATCATTTAATACATCTGTTGTCTGGTGAAGATAAGGCTATTACCCTCTCTGTAGTTTATCTAATTGCTGCCTTGAAGATTCACCCCAAAACATAGCGAATTTCCACCTAGATGCTCATATGCATACAGGTGCTCTTTTGGCATAGGAACTGGAAATTAACCCCCTTGAAGATCCAGAAGAAAAATCTGGTGCCTAAATTCCGAACACCTTAATATTGTTGCAGATTTTTCATTACCCTGTGGGATTCATTCCCAAGTGAAATCTTCCCTTTAAATTTGATATAAATTTAAAATAACCCAAAGGAACACATAAAGTGCAATTCTAAACTGAACTGCATGCTTATAAACCCATAGAAATCAGTGGGTTTGGAAGGGCATAGTTCTGTTTAGGACTGTACTGCTAACTTAAACTGCAATTAACCAAAATAGATTTTAAAAAGATGGTTTGAGAGCATCCTGAATTTGACAGCGTTATCTAAATGATAGCCAGGGAAGAGATTGTTTCCCACCTTCTACCTACACATCCCATTCTAAGGCATATTTCTTTAACATGAGTTAATCACCTCACATTTTTTAGCCACTTTGTCAATCTCAGTGTGGCCACATGCAGGCCTTTTCAACAGATATCTATAAATACAATGCTTTAGAATACATTAAGAAATGTTTTAAAAGTACAAGACCAAGATGTGGGTAAAACAAGATAGTGGGAAAGAGAAAAAATTACAGAGAAACTGTTTTAAGAATAAAAAGGACTTGCTCACACAATTACTTGCAGCATGTGGAATTTTCACAGTATTTAAGCTGTAGGTGGTGGCATCTGTAACTGTTTTTGTTCTGCCCTTCATCCAAGGAGTTCAAGGCAGCACATATGTTCTCCCCACCTGATGTATAAATACAAGTTTCATGGCAGGATGGTGATTTTAACTCAAGTCTCCCCAGTTTAAAGATTTCCATAGACAGAAGGTTTCCCATCCACTGAAGTGTAACTTTGCCCCCTTTCCCCAGAGCCTCAAATGATGCTCCTGGGGGACAGGAGACCCCAACAAATAGCTTGGGGGAACTAGGAATTGGCAAAAGTTGCCTCCCATTGCACACAAAGAAATTTTAGGTGAAAGCCTAATCATCATACCACAAAAATATTTCTGGGAAATCTATTGCATCTTCATTCATGTACTACAGTACCTGAAAAACATGGTAGGCACTATCTGCACAAAAGATCAAATTGTCATGTAGACATTTAATACATTTCTACCCTAACAAAGAAGATTAATTATTGTGTGGAACTGTCGATTTTGTCTTTTGTTCAAGCTTTACTTTGGGCTTCTGATCATATGAACACATCAAAATGTCTTATACTGTTTATCAAGATCAGTATTGTTTAGTCTGACTGGTGGCAGCTCTCTGGGGTCTTGGGTACAGGTCCTTCACATCCTCTGTAGCTCATCCTCTTAACTGGAGATGTTGTGGATTGAACCTGGGGCCTTGACTGAAACACCTTCTGCATGCAGAGCAGCTGCTCTACCACTGAGCCCTGCACCTCTCTCCAAATACACAGTAAACACACACAGGATTGCCTTGTAAGGCTCTTTGATCAAGGAATAATTTGCTCACAATTTGTACTTCTGTGTTTGTACTTGTTTTAATATTTCAAGACAGAAAAAAACCTTTTAATGGTAACAAGAATTGTTGGGAGTGATCCGCTAATTCTGTAATTTTCCCATTTCTGGAAATCAGACCATTTCAAGATGTCTGGATGGCGGTTTTACTGGTCCTGTTTCATCAAAACATGATTTCTATTAGTGCTTCTACACACTTTACACAACTTGATACATTCAACAAACATCATATTCAGGAATTTGTTTATTTTTGGTTTACAAACAAAGGCACCCAATATTTCTGTTTTATAAAAGTTTATCATTTAAAATTCTTTGCAGAATCTATTTCTATATCAGAAAACGCCAGTGCAGGATAATGTTCTTCCTATGGTCCCAAATTTTAAACTCTGGCAGACCTACTGAATAATCACCTGCTGTAAAATGCTCTTCTGTTACTTCAGATTTCACTGTTTTTAAAGTCCATGAGTAGATTTCTTAGAATAATACACAAAATTATAGATCCCCTTTGTTTTAGTTAACAATTCTGATAATATGAATTGCAACACTACAAGATCCAGATATGACAGTATCTTAGCTGTAACAATTTTTGTGGAATGCCCAAAACACTATGAAACAGCATGGTGTTATTTCTTTGTATGAGGAAAACGAAACATTCACATCAAAACCAAAACCAGGGACTCCAAGATGGCAGCCATTAGGTATTAGAATCTCACAAGGAAAATTGCATAACTCATTTAATCTCTGATTACCTTCAGCAGTGTTATGAACAGTGGCATTTTATCAGTTGTATTCCTTTTGAGGAGTTCAATAACAAGGTACACTGAGGAAAGTGAAAATAACATCCAAGCATCTTACAAATGCTTCTTTCAACCAAGTTAAACTACATCCACACAGATCATGGTGGGTTGTAGAATTCCAGGCACCTTGTGCAAGAAAAAAAGTCTACAGGCATGCTCAAATGCTAAGTAAATGATTTCAAGTCCAACAAAGGAGGAGGAAACGTTAGGAAGCAGCTGTAACATAATAGGAATATTGCCAACTGTGACTTCATTCACAAAATCCACAATTTATTGTATGTTCCATCACTGTCACAACAGTCTCTCACACTTCTTAATGTGCGGTCCTTGACCATGCAACATTTCTATCACTGGAAAGAGTACACATAAATCTTTTAAACTTACATTTAAGTTCTAAGTGAGAAAAATTCATCTTTTACTAAGGGAGTTCCTTCTCCAAATTTACATACATGTGCAAGAAAGAAGTTAAATTTCCACAGCAGCTGAGTATAGGAAATGTGCTTTGTATAATTCTGACATTGTTCATTCAGAAATCATTCTCAATTTACCTAGACAGTGATTATAAAAAGAAACAGCTACAGTACAAGTCGATCAGTTTACCACCACCATACCACAGAGGGATGCTGGTTGTATCAAATAAGGAGGAATGTTAGTGCTCATATAGAATTTTATGCAAATGAGTTGTACTGCAAAATTTAAGTACTGAATTATATTTCATCTTTTATTGAGGACTCCTATATTTTGTTTCTTGAGGATGCAAATTAAACATGCAGAAAATAGATTGGTGTTTATTTAAGTAATAGCAATTCAACATCTTCCTCCATTTCTGAAAATAATGCCAAGTTGTATTTAGCATAAATATGTTGTCTTTACAGCTTAGAAGAAAGTGACTGAGACTTCAGTTTCAAAATTCTGTGGGCAACATAGGGAGGGTGTGGTGTTTCCTAAACAAATTTATGTTCTGGATTTCAGAACAAAAATTTAAGAAGTTCCTGATTTCTTGTGCCACTTTGGAACAACTCTAGTAAAAATGTGTTTCCTTCATTTGTATTTATTCTAAGGAACAAGCTTACTTCTTCTCTTGGCCGTAGAGGCAGTTCTTATAAATTACAGTTCAGGAGAATGTAAGGAAAGCCACCTCTTGCACTTGCTTTCTCAACTGGGGGAGTTTATGCAGCCATGTGGATGCCTATGCTTACACATATGCATACACATTCTAGATCATGGCCAATTATTTCAACAGCAATCTCCGGTGGGTCAGTCTGGATCAGTAGGTGCACTTTCAAAAGCAGAACACAAAAGGTTCAGTTAGGAAGGTCTCATTTCCATAAGTAAACTTCACATCTTTACAGTCACCAGAAAGGAGGCAAGAGCAATAAAGGACTAACAGAAAGCCAAACTCACAATCATTTACAAGGACATTGCAATTTAAAAGTCTCAAATAAATAAGTCTATCACCTAAGTCAATAATTGGTTCACCTTAACTAAATGAGCTCACTTGCCATAAAAATTAAGTTTACTATGTTAAGGCAGATTTTAATTCAATGCATTCCAGAATTGCACAGTTACACTGGTCAGTGGCCTAAAGGTTTTCCTCACACAGAGATATTAAATCTGTTTTGTTGGATATTTAACCTACATATTTGCCTAATGACAGATTGCTCCAGAACCAGCCATATAATCTTCACAGAAATACACAATTAAGCATCACATGTACTGTATTTCACAATCCAGATCTAATATTTCATGTTTTTACAAAAGACAAGATGAGTAGGTACATTATACGGCTTTGTGCCATTAGACCACCATATGCATAGATGTCCTAATGTTAGAATTGTCCTCTTCAGTATCTCATAGTACTAGAGGCTCTGAAGTAAGAAAGGAACTTGTAACACAGGCTCACAACAAAATACCAGATGTTTCTTGCCATTTGTGATCTTGCAATGAAGATACGCCAGATGAGAATAACAAGCACTGTATTGAAGCCGTAACGGATGTTCCTTAACCTAGAAAATAAATAAAATGCAAATCAAGAAAAATATGGAGAACAATACATGATTTTGAATGGCAAATAATGTAGGAATATAGAGGTTTCAACACAGAGCTTAAATTTCTACACAGGCAAGAGGCCTAAGCATCAACATGGACTTATTTAGAAAATTTCTGTGCTGCTGGAGACACCTAGACTAATTATACTGGAGGACTTCAGCCTTCATGCCAAAGGTACCTTGACATGGCAGGCCCAGGATTTTATAGCTTTTTTAGCTACCCTGGGCCTCTCTCAGATCATGATTTTTATACAACAGTCTGGGATGCTGGTTGTTGGGTGCCAAAAGGCTACGTTTTATTCTGATGCCTATGCTAGAATTCTGTTTTATAGATTGTAACTTAATTATTTTTGTAAGTATGTTTTTATCTTTACTTATAGATTATTGATGCTGTTGAGCGGCCCTGAGCCCTCTGACCAAGGGGAGGGTTGGGGTATAAGTCTAAAAAAAGAAATAATTTTTTTAAAAAATGATGGGACAAAATTCAGGAGGCCCAGGTCAGCTGGAGGGCCTGATACCAGTGTTGTGCTGCAGTCATGAAATTTGCAATGCACTTCTGTACTGCAGCCACTGCGGGTGCACGGAATGCACAGCAGAGTTAAATAGCTGTCACTCTACTTTCTGCTTAGAGTGCCTTTCTGTAAAGATCACTGCAGGGAGCCAAACACTTGCATATCTTGCTAAACTCATCAACAAGCTAGCACTGGAGCAGGGCAAGACCAGCCAGCACAGCTCATGGCTGCTAGAGTCATTGCCAGGCTGCAGCCTCCTAACAAGGTCGTTTTCCCCAACAGACTGTTTTTCTCGTTCTTTCCTTCCACTCAGCACCATAATTTTGTCTGCTTAGCTAGATCTTGCAAGGGGGCAGCCCTGGTAGTGTGTAGTAGAAAATAAAACCTTTGCTCTTTTCTTAATTTCTCTTCCTCTTTTCCATACTTTTCTCCTTTTTGCTCTTCTTTTCATGATATACCTCCATTTCTCTCTTCCCCTTTCTAATCCCCCCTCCACCTCTCAGTCTTACTTAATTCATCATCCCTATCCTGGTTGGCAACTTAGACATTTTAATAGTAGTATGGTAGCAAATCCTTATTAATATTATGAAAGGGGGGAATGAATATTTCCCCATGATCTATCAAAGTAATAAAAGCAGGGCTATTTTTGGGCAGGAACGCACAGGAACGGAGTTACGGCTGGCTTCAGAGTTGGCCAAGCCCACTACAGGCAAAACCTCTGCATGCGTGGATACAGAGGGAAGGCCTGGAGAGCGACCCCTGGTGACTCCAAGGCAGGCAGGCCGGGGGGGGGGCGGCCCTGTAAGGATCGGGGAGGCATTTAAATACCTCCCCGTGCCTTCCCTGGCCTGTCCAAGGGTCAGCTTGCCCAGGCTCCCTGCAGCCGCAGGGCACCCAGGCAACCCAAGGGAAGGCATGCGGGTGTGGCCTAATATGCCAATGAGTTTCTGCTGTTGGGTGTAGCCTATTATGCTAATGAGTGCCTGCTGGGCTTTTTCTACAAAAAATGCCCTGAGTAAAAGGATGCTCTTCCCCTTACAAGCATGGTAACTGAATGCTAATCTGATTTAGTGGTTACATATGTTAGAACTAGGGGTGTGCAAAAAAAAAAATGCCGGTATTTTCAGCTTCGGGTAAATCAGAACCAAAAAATATTGGTAAAAGCCGAATTTCCCCAGTAAAATACCAGTAAGGTATTTGGATTGGGGCTATTTTTCTCCTATTCCTGAATATATTCAGGTTCGATTTACACCACCAGAGGGAAAGGAGGCATGTTAAAATGTCTTCTTTCCCTCTGGTAGCCCTAGAGATTTTCCTGTCAATTTCACTGCCAGTCAGCTGGGAGTGAAATTGACTAGGGAAAGCCTGTGCTCTCTGCCTTCCCTTCTCAAGCTGACAGATTGTAGCTGGAGAAGGGCAGGCAGGGAAGCTAGGCATGTTTAAAATGCCTTTCCCCAATTTTGGGGAGGGAAAGAAAGGCATTTAAACATGCCCCCCCCCCCTTCCTCGAGCTTCTCCACAAAAGCGAAGAGGCTCAGGGACGGAAGAGGAGATGTTTGCATGCCTGCCCTCTGTCTTCCCAGCCTGCCTGCCAGCTGTGGGGCATCTGGAGAAGATCAGGCAGGGAACCAGGCATGTTTAAAATGCCTTTCTTTCCCTCCCCCACATCAGGGAGGGAAAGAAAGGCATTTAAACCCAACAGCTGACTGGCAGTATAGCAAAATGAACCCGAAAAGAACCTGGATAATTATGGCTTTTTCAGGTTCAGCTATACTGGTAGCCAAATACAGATCAGAGATTACTGACAAGGTATTTTTTTGGTTCGGCTATAGCCGAATGCACACTCCTAGCTAGAACTCCTTCTCCTCTGCTTAATTGGATTTAATTATATTTTGAACACTGTTCAGGTAGGGGGTTGCTGTACTGGTGGGACATCTAATATCCCTGTAAACGCCACTTTGCTACTGTAGCTAAGCTTCATGCTAAATGACAAACATCAGTCTTTTTAGAAAATATGTCAGTAAAATCAATCCCAATGATCTCAGTACTTCTCATCCAGCACCACTACATAATAAATTTGTCCCTGCTTTTGTGCTAGCTAAAGATATAAGGGTACACAAATAGATTTTTTTACTGATTTACTTAGTAAAGATTTATTGTGATGTGAATTTTTTGTGAATTACAGCCCACTTCATCAGACGTAAGAAATGTATCCTATACTGTTGCACATATGAATATATGTACAGATATAAACATTATAAAATTAGACACTTGGTCTGTATCAGGGTCATATAGGGGGTCCATGATGGCTCTCAGCAACCCCAAGACCAACACATGAATGAGGTCATATCTTGGACTTGAATTTTTTTGCACTGAAACCTCTGAAGGAAGGTCTAGTTTCAGGGTTGGAAATTCAGCCTGAACCACAATCTGATCACTATCTAATTAAGGCAAAGGTGAATGTGGTTCTGACACTTTGCAGGAAAGGGTCCACAGTTGAAATAGTTCACCCATGGAGGCTCATGAATCCTACTGGATTCCACAATGCTCTGCTGATAAAATCTCTCAAACACATTCTGAATTGGATGCTGGTTGGAAGACGGTTCAGATAGTCTAATCTGCCATTTGGCTGATTTATGGACCGTTATGACCCAGTTATTACAAAAGATGTTGACAGGTTCCTGGGATCTGTGAAGGATACTACTTGTGCTCTAGACTTTTGTCCATCCTAGTTGCTGAAATAATGCAAGGGCCACACTAACAAATCATTGATGTCCACCATAAATTAGTCACTGATTCAGGGCGCCTTCCCTCAACCACTCAAAGAGGTGGTTATCTGACTACTACTTAAAAAAAAACTATTCCTACAGAAAAGCAATGTGACCATTATTGCCCTGTCTCTAATTTGACCTTTATGGGAAAGGTGATTGAGAGTGGTGGTGGACCAACTCCAGGCCTTCTTGAATAACTCATGGTCTGGACTCTTTTCAGTCTGGACTATGTGACAGATATGGTACTGGAGGCCTTGGTTGATGATCTCTGAATATAGACAAAGATCAAGCCACAAGGTTGCTCCTACTGGATTTACCTGCTGCCTTTAATACAGTTTTGTTGTTGTTCAGTCGCACAGTCGAGTCCGGGCATTAGTAGGTATCAGGAGATGTGCTTTGGATTGGTTTAAATAATTCCTTACAGATCAGACCCAAACGGTTGTCATGAGACCAGTCATCAGTGTGGAATTTATACTAAGGTGTGATCTTATCTCTCATGCTTCTTAAACTCTAAGTCAAGCCCTTAGGACAAATCATTAACAGTTTCAGAACTGGATGCTATTAATATGCCAACATCCAGCTCTATATCTACTAAAAAGTCCTGGTAATGTGATAGAAGTCTTCAGCCACTGCCTGACTGCAATGGTTAAATGGCTGAAAGTGAACAAACTGAAACTGAACCCTTACAAGATGGGGGTAATGTTAACTGGGAAGCCTAAGGTCTTGAAGGACACCATGCTTTCCACTTTCAGTGGGGTCCAGCTGACCCCTGCTGACTTGATCAAGAACCCACGAGTTATACTTGGCCAAGCATAATGGCTGAAGAAGCAACTTAATACCGTCACCAAAAATGCTTTATTCCAACTTAGCTTAGCCTGGAAGATGGCCCCCTACCTTGACTTAGCTGATCTGGACACCTGGATCCATGCCATGGTAAACAGCAAGACTAGACTACTGTACTGAGCTATACTTAAGTTTCATTCACATCCTGTCTTTCTCCCCAATGAGGACCCAAAGCAGTTTCCACTCCTCCATTTTATTCTCACAGCAACCCTGTGAGGTTAAGTTAGGCTGACTGTGGTGTGACTGGTCCTAGGCCACCCAGAGTGGGGATTTGAACCTGGGTCTCTCATCCTAGTCCAACACTGTAACCATTACATGCCACTGGTTCTACATAGGTCTCTTCCTGAAATCAACTGGGAGACTCTAGCTGATGTGGAATCTTGCAGCACAGTTATTATCAGAAGCTAGGCATAGTATGAATATCATTCCCATTCTGCAGTCATTCCACTGGCTGCCCATCAACTACTTAGTTCAATTCAAGTGGAGACCCATGCTTCTAGCATTCCACAAACTATGTAAAATGGAACTGAATGGGCATTTTGATGAAGGTGATAGAGTGACATTACATAATGGTTCAGGAGATAGGAATAGGTCTGTGGACTTCACTGTTGTATACTGTTTGTGATCTGTTGCTGTATGCTTTAGCTTGTTCTCAGTGCATTGTCTCTCTACTTACGTAATGACATTTACTGTTTGTATAGCTTGTCATGTCTGATACTTGTGTTTTGTTCAGGTTTCTGCAATCCCAGCCCTATAAAACTACTTATTAGATATCTCCTCATACTGATTGCATTGACTTACATTGTGTACTTTGCCTTGAGTCTCAGTGAGAAAGGTAGACTATACATAATGTAAACAATTCAAATCATTTTTAAACAAAACAATTAAAAATGTCTATACCTCATATCTAGAGAACCTGCTCAATATACTTGATGAACTAAAACTACATAAGAACTGAAATAATGAAATTTAGCAATTAAACCGCCAGCTTAAAAACAAAAAAAAAAACCTAGGCCAGGAGCATAAAATAGCTTTTAAAATAGTCTCACAATAGCTTCAAACCCTGTTTGCATTATGCAATTTGAAGTTACCTAAGACTATAATTAGCCCTCCCCCCCAGGGGGCAGAAGGTAAAGTTGCATCTACTATAAGTTTAATGTTATTCATAGAAACTGATGCACACTGTCTGAACGCAATGTTCCCTCTAAGCTGTGGAGTCTTGTGAGCCAAAATTCTACTTTGTGAGCTGCTGGCATTAAATTTGTGAGCGAGCGATTTGGCTACTGCATAAATTAGTTTGTTCTGGAAGACTAACATCACTTTTTAAAGTAATTCAGACCTTAGTATGCTTTCAAAGGTACCTTTTTGTCTTTGCAGGATGGGAAACATGCCATGGTACTTAGCAGGATCAACCCTTTTAGTAATCTCTTCCCCTTTCACCGCAATAGGGAGGTGAAGCCAAACAAAGACTAAGCAATGAGCTCTTATTTGCGTTTAGTCAGCCTATTCAGATAACAATGCCTCAGTAGAACTCACTTGAATTAAATCCTCTGAGGTTCTTGAATTACTCCAAGTTTTAAGTAGAAAGTCTGACATTATGTTTATTTTTAGGTGATTTTATTAGAAAGAAAGAAAGATTAGACAGAATCTGTTGAACAGGTGATCTAAACTGATTTGCTTCGAGAATGCAGTTGTTTAAGCTTTGCCCACAGTGGTCAAAGCAAAGCAGGAAAAATACAAAACTGCATTAGACAACAAAATAAAGTAAAAATATAAAGACATACTTATTCAAGTGTTTCCTAGCTGCTGGGAGACCAGACATTTCCTCATTCAGAACATACTTCTTTGTTCCCATGCAGTAGTTTTCCATATACTCTGCCCAATGTAACTGGCGAACATCAAAATTAAATACCTGCCATAATAAAATTGTTAGTATTACAATAAACATTGCATACAAATATTCAAAGGCTAAGTATTAAGAATGGCATAGATTAAATTGCTTCATGCCATTATGGCAACTGCAATGTTACTGAGCACCAAGAACTGTGTATTAGGAAGTTCTTGGACCAAACTAGAAGTTAAAATGGACATGACACTGGGAGTTCCACAAGCAAAGCCCCCAGAATGTGCTTCCCAGAATTAGATACACAAGAACCCAATTGATGACAGGACTGTGGCCTAAATTTCAGCCATGGCTTATTAGCCCCTTCTTCCTTATACATTTCTTAAAGCAATCTCCTGGTTTATCTACCTCCTAAACAGGAAATAAGGCAATAAAGTTTCTATACTTGTACAGCACTTTCTGTCAAAGGGAGAATTTTTAAGATGCCTGACACAAACTAAAACACTATCAGGATAATTGCAGAATATTTTTCACAGCGGTTATGTGAACAACTTTAAAAAGTTCAATAAGTACTCAATATTAATCTATTTTTGGGTCCAGCTCTAATATTACAGTGCAGCAAACACAAAGTGAAAAAGAGAACATCTTCATGGCTCTCATTAGTTTATTATTCAACATCAGATATTTGATATTTACTTAGATTACAGAACTGTAAGCCTCAACACTAACAGCAACACTTATTACAATAACCTTAGAGCTATTCATAATTATACCACAGTACAAATAAGCAGATGGTACTCTCAAGAGGTGCAGGCTACTTCCAGCCTCACTCAATAGTCCACCGCTAGCTATGTTTGAACTCCCAGAAGACACAAAGTCCTGTATGAGGGAAGTCCTATAGCCTGTGGCTGCACATTTTGGCTGATACCCAAATAACTACTTGCCTATGTAGAACTGTGTTGATCAAATTTCTTAGAGCTGCTTTTTGCAGGAAACATGTGGACTGTCTACAGAAGGACTGCAGATGCATTTGACAGCTATGTTTCGGCATTTTGTGTCTACCAATTACTATTTTCCATGTGCAGTAAGCAAGCATCACGACAGGTGATCAAGCTGCCATGGAGTTGCTTGGAGTGGCTGTCAGTACTGCCCCAACTTTCCTTTCTACAGCTGCTATTGGCCTTTTTGCTTTGCTGCCAGGGAGCATAGGACCACAACTGTACTACACTAGCAAAAACTTTGGCATACAGACTATCATCATACAGGAACATAACAGGGTGTCCTTCTCACTGGTAGTAGAAAAAATAATAAATAAATAAGTCCACAATAGAGAGACCTGATCACTTCAATAGTTACCATACTTCAGAATCCAAATTTAAATCAGATGCATATATATATTTCTGATTTTCTCTAAATGAACATCTTTAATAATTCATAATGCAAAATCTGCACAGAAACTATGAAAATCCCTTCTTTACACTACAATTTCATGTTCGATCGACGACAAAAAACATTAGAGAATTACTTGCCTTTTTGTCTTCAGGACCCAGTTGGCTCATAAGCATATTTACATTGTCTGTGTTCCATTCCCAAGAATTACTGGTAAAGTATTCTAGTAACATCATAGCCTTGTGAAGACGTGTTATTGTTTTCATCATCCTATAGTCCAGGGAAAGTGTGTTACTAAAAGAAAAGGCGCTATTCAAAAGTATACACCACCACCACCCTAATTTCAGCAGGTATGATGCAATAAAGGAGCCTTCAATTTGGCCATCACATTAAAGCATTTAGTACATTTAACAGAATATTTCTGCATAGTTTTTCTTTTAAAAAAATTAAGAAAAGTCAACACCTGTATTTGTAGTCAGCATCATGAACACAAAATTTTACATATTTAGACCCATCTTATGCAATCATGAAGAAGAGGAACTATATCCAGTAGTTTTGATTAAATTATAAAAATCCTGTAACATTGTGATTTTATAAAAACATATTGTAGGATTTTAAGGGTAAGATGTAGAAAACTTGGAAGCCTTTATAATGAAGCACTCTCTCTCACACACGAAAGACTAGTTTCCCCTACAAAACAGACTACCTGGACTACAGAGTCACACACCTATCAGATGGCAGTCTTCTTTGGGGAGCCTCCTTTTCTCCATCATTCTAGCCACACAGAAGAAAAGTGATGGAACAGCCTCCATCACAAGAAGATGTCCCCCCCAGTATTATTGCTGATTACCCCAACTGGTGCAATGCAATGTGTCAGTGCAGATATTGACTACTTAATATGCAGAAATATTCTATCAATGTTTACTGCCTTGCTGGGTAACCACCGGTACCTTATCTGAATACAGTGCATTCAGTTATTAGGATCAATTTGGATAGCAGGCTTTTAACTATTACTAAAAAACAATTTGTACCCAGAACATTGTGAATGTACACATTTGAACCCCACATATTTCTCATCTTGAAAGAGACAGTGGCATGCATCTGCTCAACGTTTTCTTTCAACTTGATTGACCAGATATATTCCACCAGTACATGCTAACTGTAGCCTAAAGCAAATGATCATTCTATATATGGCAGTTACTGAGAGTTGATTTCCAGCCTGATCCTCATAATGGAACACACTGATAATAAACAGCAGGAAGGATGAAAGGGGGGCAGCAAAATATAAAATCAGCACTGAATATGCAACAGCCTTTAGAAAGTTACATTAACTCTGTACAGACTGTGGCCATTTGCCTACAGTGAGTAGGATCCTACTGTGTAAGAGTGCTGGAAATTTTAAATACTACATTTGGCAGAGAGGTATTAGAAGGAAGGCATACCACATACAAACAACTAGTCACCAGGAAAAACACAAAGTAATAAAACTAACACAACTTTTTTTGCCTAAGAGGGTATTTATTTTAATCTTTATTTTACTCAGTTTTTATCTTATTACTGGTGAGCTACAATGAGGAAAAGTGCATGACTCTCACCCATGTTATTAAGAGCTTAGCCAGAGCTCTTTCTTCCAAATATTCATAAGCAAAAAATTGAGAACAGAAAAACAAAATGCTATATATAATCAATGGTTTCAAGTAATACAAGGGGGAAAAACAATGAATTTAAATACATTTGAAGTTACAGAAAATATGCTAAGAGCACCACTTCAATCTCTTTTCAGTTGAAGACTTCTTGGTTTGTTCCATGGATATCCCTTCGAAAGAATTTTAAAAGCTAGGAACTGGCACTGTTAACAACATTTCTACTATGAAGTAAAGGCTCCTGAATCCAATACGCCACAAGTTTCTACTAAAACATTCATAGTCCCACTAAATTAGTGTCACGAAAGTAGGTGCAGGTGGGTAGCTGTGCTGGTCTGAAGCAACAGAACAAAGTTTGAGTCCAGTGGCACCTTTAAGACCAACAAAGTTTAATTCTGGGTATAAGCTTTTGTGTGCATGCACACTTCGTCAGATACCTTTGTTCTGCATTAGCCAGTGTTATAGAAAGGGCGCAGCAGTACCAACCTTACACTGCCACAGCAAGTTAACAAAGAAAACACAACAGTTCAGCCAGATGGTCCAGCTAGTCCAGCATCTTGTTTCCCCACGATGGCTGACCAGACACCCCAAAATGTCCACAGCAAGGGTTCAAGGGCATAACCTCCATTCAGTAGCATAGTGCCTCCCAATATGAAGGTACCATTCAGCCATCATGGCTGGCAATGATGGACCAATCCTGTATGAACTTGTCTAACCCTCTTTAAACCTATACAAGCTATTGGCCATCACCATACCCTGTTGCAGTAAGTTTTGCCAAGTACATTCCAGATTGTGCAGAGAAGTTTTGTCTGTCCTGAATCTGTCACTCATCAACTTAAATGGGCATCCTCCAATTCAAGTATTTTGGGAGATGAGGAAAAAAGGTCTACTCTCTTTCCCAACACCACACCTAATCTAATGTTATTAACTTCTATTATGACCTTCCCTAGTCATCTGAACTTGAAAACCTCAAATCGTTAACACTTCCTTGTTGGGAAGGTACTCCAGTTTCTTGATATGATTGCTCTCTGCTGCACGTTTTCAGGATTCATCATATTTCCCTGATGTGAAGCATTTACAGTATTCCAGATGCAGTCTGGAATACAGGCAGTTTTATTTTCAATTCCTAGCACAGAATTAGTTTTTTCACTAGTGCCACATACTTAGTGGATTTTTCTCTGAACTACCTACAAAGACCCCAAAATATTTTCCCCAATCAACAACCACCAGTTCAGACCTGTTAGTATATATGGAAAGTCAGATTTACCCTGCCCCTGCTTTTTACCACTTACTTACATTAAATCTCATTGACCATGCTATTACACTCTCTCAATCTGGAACCAGCCCCTATAAAGCCCTTCATGGCTTTGGACCTATGTATTTGCCGGACTGTGTTCCCTGTTATGCTCCCCCACAACAGCTTTGCTCATCTGAGCAAAACCTTCTTTAAGTGCTACCCAGCAACTGGGTAAGAACAACAGCTACCCACACTCCAGCATTCTTTGCTGTGGCTCCCATATAAAGAAGAAGAAGAGGAAGAGATTGGATTTATACCCCGCCCTTCACTACCCAAAAGTGTCTCAGAGCGGCTTACTAACTCCTTTCCCTTCCCCTCCCCACAACAGACACCCTGTGAGGTAGGTGGGGCTGAGAGAGCTCTTGACAGAAACTGCTGTTTTTCAAGAACAGCTCTTATCAGAACTACGGCTTGCCCAAGGTCATCCAGCAGGTGCCAAGTGGAGGAGTGGGGAATCAAACCCGGTTCTCCCAGATTAGAGTCCACGCACTTAACCACTACACCAAACCACTACACCAAATATGTCTGTCATTCTGTAGAATGTACAAAGCAGAAGTGTAATAAAGGTAATAGGATTGTAGTATAATGAAATGGTTCAGGAAGGCAGTTCTATAAAGAGAATAGAATCGTAGTCTACTGCAGTGTTTACTGTATATACATTATTGTGTTCGTACATTGACTTCTACTTTTGTAATCCATTCTCTGTTGGTTTCCATTTTTCTAATTTTGTAATCCTAGTCCTATTGTATTTTTACCACCTGCCTTATTTTTATATTTTGGTGCCTTGAGCTTCAGTGAGAAAGGGAGGTGATTAAATAAATCCTCTCTGAGTTCTGCACAATCTGCAATGGTTTTCCCCATTATGACTAATTTGGTGCCATCCAGAAATGTGGCTATTTCACTGCTCACTCATAATGCTACATCATTTATGAACAAAAGGAGAGCTGCATGGTGTATTGGTTAGTATTGGACAAGGATCTGGGAGACCCAAATTCACTCTCTGCCATGGAAGCTTATTGGGTGACCTTGGACCAGTCACACTCAGCCTGACCTACCTCACATGGCTGTTGCAAGAATAAAACAGAGAGCAGACCAATGTAATCTGCTTTGGATCCCCACTGGGCAGAAAAATCACAGAATAAATGAAGTAAATAAATAGTTGTTGTTGTTCAGTCGCACAGTCGAGACCGACTCTTCGCAACCCCATGGACTACATCACGCAAATAAATAGTACCAGTCCTATATCCATCAATGGGGAGGGGGGACCCACACTGCCCTCCAATGACAGAAGTGTCCATTTACTCTTCCACATCCTGTTTATTAATAACCCACAAGAGAGCTCTGCCCAGCTATCCCATGAGTCTTAAGTTTACTCAAGAGCTTTTTATGATTGACTGTGGAAAAAACTCTTGGAAGTCAATGTACATAATACCTACAGTTTTTCACCCTTATCCACTTGTTTGTGAACACTCTTGAAGAACTCGAACTGGGAAGGCAGGACTTCCCTTTGTAGAATGCTCTGTGGATTCTCCCTCTGTAGCATGCGTAACATTTCCCTTTACTAACTGTTTCCACCAGTTACCCAAAACAGATGTTACATGAACTGGCTTATCATTTCCCAGATACCCCTGGGGAAAAGTCAGCAACATGTTTACTGAAGCACTGGAAATTATCAGCGACAAACCGCATATTACAGTCAGAAGATCAATAATTTCATATGAGGGCCCTAAGAACCTTCAGGTGTTAATGTATATATCCCAGTGAGGAGTCTAAAAAGTTTGAAACTATCATAATGTTGTACAAACGTAGCAATAGAAGATAGTGCTAGCCTTATTCCTGCACATGTCTGTTGTGGGTGCAGGAATGGTTCAGATATTGATGAGAAACCCAGAGGATTTCTTCAATGCGTTCTATTTACTAGGCTTGGATTCTGTATCTTCCTTGTACTTCTTTTCTGCTGTGGAAGTAGTCCTCTGCAGTAGAGCACATGCCTCTCATGTTAGGCACGTTTCAGTCTTTTGAAAGCCATCAGTCTTGCACATGTGGAGGTGCTTTGTGGCAGAGGAATACACACTTCACAGTGGACTCTGTAATAAAGAGCACTGAAAGCAGAAGGAAGGTATAGGATTCAAGCTTAGTACTGTCTTTTGTTGACAACAGCTGTGCACTTCATCTGGAAGGTCTGATCATTACTTTCTTCGATACTACTTTATACTGCTTTCAAGTTTTGAACATGATAAGTGTTTGCTTACTCTTATTCCTTTCCCCTCCCTTGTTGTTGTCCTTCTATTCTCAAGCTTATTTTTAGAAAGGTACTTCAGCAGCAACCT